TCAGGTCCTTTGCCCTTTTTTAGATCAACTTTTCTTTCTCACCATTGTTAAGATTTATTGGTAATATCAAACTTGATTTCTTTGTTAAGGTGCCAGATTTCACCAATATAAAGTTATTATTTCTTTATTGATAAAAATCTTGGGCAAGATACTTAGCAGAACTTTTAAAAATACTTATTAGCAGGTATTGGTTGATTAGTTTCTGGCAGAGGGTTTAGGCATCCCCAGTGATTCTGATGGACAGCCAGGGATGGGCCTTAGATCTGGATCACATTCCTAATCATAAACCCTAAAACAAAGTGTTCTTTTCTCAGAAGAATATAGAGTAATGAGAAACATTGAGTTATGGGATTCATGGGCACTTACCTTTAATAACTTGGGTATTTAATTATCTCATGCTACCCAACACATTATCACAAACTTACAGCTTAAAGCAATACATATTTAGAATCTCACAGTTTGAGTCAGAAGCTCACCCATGGCTTAGTTGAATCCTTTGGTTCTGGGTCTCACAAAGGGATGGTCAAAGTGTTGGCCAGAGCTTAGTCACATCTGATCCTCAACTAAGAAAGCATCTGCCTCCAAGATCACAGACTGTTGGCAGAACTCAGTTCCTTGTTACCTGTTAGACTAAGGGCCTTGATTTCTTGCAGGCTGTGGTTTGGAGGCCACTCTCAGTTTCTTGCCATAATGGGCCTCTCCAAAGTGTAGTTTCACATCATAGTAGCTTGTTTGAAATTCTATTACTAATACAGAAGTTATAATTTTATGTTGCATCACAACAGAAATGATATCACTTTTGCTTTGTTGTATCAGAATACTGGTCCCAGCCATGCTCAGTGAGAAAGAATTACACAAATGATTTTTCTTTCCAGACTACCAGACAGCAGAGATCACTGGGAGCCAATCTAGAGTCCACTCAGCTCATGGAGGAAACATTTGAAAGTAAGAAGGAGTGAGGAAGGCAATTAGTTCAAATAGGGATCTAAGTAAGCCTCATGTCTGCTGCAGGGCACCCTAAGTGGGAGTGTTCCTCTAAACAGAAGTGAATACACTCATTTAATCACAAGTACCCGCAAAATACTTATTTCAAGCCAGGTACTCTTAGGCACTCAGGATATAGTAGCAAACAGAAAAGGAAACATTGATAATAGTCAAGGGGCAAACACACACACACACACCACGGTGAGGAGATATAAAATAGGAGGAGAGGGAAACTTTTGATATGGTAGCTAGGAAAGGCTTCAAAAGTAACACCTGCTTTTTAAGACCTGAAGGAAATAAAAGGTCTAACAATGTAATGATCTAGAAAAAAGTACTGCAGACAGGGGGAACAGTGCAAAGATCCTACGATAGGGATGTGCCTGCAACGTTGGAGAGCAGCAAGGAAGCTGTATTCTTGAATAACAAATTACCTCCATAGCTTAGTGGCTTCAAACAACAAACACCTCCCATAGCGTCTGTGGATCAGGAACTTGGAAAGTGCCACTGGAGCCATACTCTCCCTAACTAAGCATCCTTCCCTATCTCTGCCCTTCCCATGTGTTTGTCCACTAAGTCCCTCTTTCCAGACTCCAACACAGGGGAACCCAAACCCACTTTGCCTATCGAAAAGGAAACCTCCCCTGCCATGGCCTCTCTGATTTTTTCCCCCAACCCGGAGGCAGAATCTAAGTTGTCCAGAACTTCTCCAAAATAGCAGTCTGCTATGCCCTATCAGGGTGTCCTATGACTGTTACCACGGGGGTCCCCACAGAAAGGATGGCAATAGGTTATCATCAATCGTTTGTTCTACCTGAACAACAAAAATCTCTGGGCCAGAAAAAGTTGGGGGCAATGTAGTTTGAAAAAACCTTTGAAAATGTCCACCCCCAGGGATAAACAAGTCAATGGGCTCAAATATCACACAACCCCACCCATCAGCATCCTGCACAGGGGCGCCCTCTGCAGCCAGCTACAACAGCCGAGAGTGCAGATGAGCAGGCACAGCAGCCTTGCAGGGTGGAACACCTCTAGGGCTAAGGTGAGCAATGCATGGGCCTGCAAAAGGATGAGTGCAGGGATTGGGTGTGAGTGATTGAAAATGGGAAGTGGGTGGCAAGAATCTGGGGGTTAGGAATTCTTCAAAAAGCATCAAGAATTTCAACATGGCAATAGCAGAGTATTAAACCAGCGTGGAGCCTTGGAAGGCATGCCTACAAAGTCAGCCCTGGGGGTAGGGAGTGCCCACTAGGATAATCAGGTAAGACCAGTGAATCTTGTTGCCATGGGCTGTCAGTGGGTGCTGATGGTTAAAGTTCCCTGGGTCTTCACTGGCAGGAACAGAGTGAAGGACTTGGAAAGAAAGAAGGGTAGGTCCTGTCTCAGAAGTCACTAAAAATGGTTGGACATAAGAGTCAGTGCTTCAGAAATTTGCATTTTATACTTCTAGTGCAACCAAAAAAGGAAAACAAAAACTAAGTGATTACATTATGATAGTCTGAAGACGCTTATCCTATTGTAAAGGAAAAACAAATAGGCAAAAATTAACATTATTGCTATGAGTGTTAGAACAGTATAGGATGGCCATTTATTCTGGGGGATCACCTATAGAAGTAGCTTTTAAAATATGGCCAATAGGTTTGACCTACAGTACATATAGGCCCTCAATAATTGCTGGTTGAGAAGTAAAATTCTTTCGACTTATCAGTAATTATGAGACAAATGAACCATAGTTGATACAGTTTGTACACTTGGAAAATTCTAATGAAAATACAATCTCCTACAATAAATAAGACAATGAAAAATAGTTGTGAAATTAATGCTGTTCCTGATTGTGTGCTTTGGTTTTATTTACCCATTTATTATAGAGACAGAGAAATCTCCCTTCCTCTAGTTCATTCCCCAAAAGCTTGCAACAGCTAGGGAGGGCTGGGCCAAAGCCAGGAGCCAGGATCCATCCAGGTCTACCACAAGGGTGCAGAAGCCCAAGTACATCAGGAGCCAGATGGAATTCCAGGCTCCTGACTTTGGTCTGACCTAGCCCCTTTCAAAGAATGATTCATAGGAAGTAAACCAGTAGCAACTAGACTCCTGGAACAAGGTATCCTCAGGTCATGCCAATCTGTCTGTAACACCTTCATCCTTCCAGTAAAACAGCCAAATGGTAAATACAGGTTACTGCAGGACTTGAGGACAGTAAATGAGGCTGCAGAAAACACTGATAAAGTGGTTCCCAACCCATATTCCTTACTGTCTACTCTTCCACCTGATTGCAAGTTGTATTCTGTTTTAGACCTAAAGGATGGCTTTTTTTTTTTTTTTTTTTTTTTTTTGACAGGCAGAGCGGACAGTGAGAGAGAGACAGGGAGAAATGTCTTCCTTTGCCGTTGGTTCACCCTCCAATGGCTGCCGCGGCCGGCGCATCGTGCTGATCCGAAGGCAGGAGCCAGGTGCTTCTCCTGGTCTCCTATGGGGTGCAGGGCCCAAGCACTTGGGCCATCCTCCACTGTACTCCCTGGCCACAGCAGAGAGCTGGCCTGGAAGAGGGGCAACCGGGGCAACCGGGGCAACCGGGACAGAATCCGGCACCCCGACCAGGACTAGAACCCGGTGTGCCGGCGCCGCTAGGCGGAGGATTAGCCTAGTGAGCCGCGGCACTGGCCAGGATGGCTTCTCTTCGTTCTTCAACCCTGAGTTCCAAGACCTCGAATTCTTTGAATGGCAAGAACCCATTGTGGGAAAAAACAGAATGTATGTTGGACAGTCCTCCCCCAGGGATTCACAAACTCCTACTCTATTTAGGAAAGTATTGGCTAAAGATTTGGAGGAATTCACCCTGGAATAGGGGATGCTATTCCAATATATGGGTGATATGTTAATAGCAAGCCCCACTAAGGGGAGCTCAGATACAAATAGAGTGACAGTCTTTAATCTTTTGGGTCCAAGGGGCTATAGTGTCAAAATATCAAATATCAAGCCAACAGGTCTTGTTGGAGGGAAGGATAAGGGGATTTTCAAAGGAAAGAGAAGGCCATTTGTAAACTACCCATTCCTGGGACTTAAAACAATTGAAGGGCTTCTTGAAAATGCCCAGTAGAATCTGAATCCCTAGTTTTGGTCTCACAGTTAAGTTACATGAACTCCCAAGAGGGCCAGACACTGATCCTTTTGACCAGATTCCAGACTGTAAGTGAGCATTTCTAGACTAATTAATAGCTAAACTTTTGGAAGCCCCTTTGCTGCCATTGCCAGACCTGACATTTCATCTGTACATTCCTGAGAGGACAGGGGTTGCCATGGTAATGCAGTTACTAAGGCTACCATGTCTGTAAGTCATAGCAGGTATTGTCCTCCATTTTAAAGAAGCAGAAAAGTTAACTTTTGGGAGATACTGAAAGTGAGTGCATGGCCGGCGCCGCGGCTCACTAGGCTAATCCTCCGCCTAGCGGCGCCGGCACACCGGGTTCTAGTCCCGGTTGGGGCGCCGGATTCTGTCCCAGTTGACCCTCTTCCAGGCCAGCTCTCTGCTGTGGCCAGGGAGTGCAGTGGAGGATGGCCCAGGTTCTTGGGCCCTGCACCCCATGGGAGACCAGGAAAAGCACCTGGCTCCTGTCTCCTGCCACCGGATCAGCGCGGTGCGCCGGCCGCAGCGCGCCGGCCGCGGCGGCCATTGGAGGGTGAACCAACGGCAAAGGAAGACCTTTCTCTCTGTCTCTCTCACTGTCCACTCTGCCTGTCAAAAAAATAAAAAATAAAAAAAATAAAAAAAAAGAAAGTGAGTGCATAAAGGCACTGAAGACACTAATTCCAGCAGACCTGACCTCCAGAGTAAATCTCTCCAAAGTGCTGAGTGATTGATTCACCAGTGGGCGCTGCTGTACCAAGGCCAGAAAGAGAAAAGTGGAGAGATCTCCACAGATACCACAATAGAGGCTATAGTCCACCCAACAGGAACCTCAGCCCAAAAGGCTGAGTTGAAAGCTTTGGCTTTAGAAGGAAGGGAAGGAAATACCACTTACCTATACATTGATTTAAAATATCCATATTCCATCCTTTGTGCTCATGGGGCAATCTGGAAACAAAGAGGAATGCTTACTTCTGACAATCAAGTAATTAAACATGGAAAAGAATTTTTGTGCCTTCTAGAGGCAGTGATGAAGCAACAGAAGGTGGCTGTGATCCACTGCAGACGTCACCAGAGGGGAGAGAGAAGTCAGAAAGGGAAGTAACAGGGCCAACAGAGTTGCTAAAAGTGAAATCATGAATGAAAGATCCCACTTCTTTGCTTAACATCAAACTTCCTGTGGCTGCCTAACATACTAACAGCCAATAATAGTTCTTTGCTTCCTGTTGCATAGTAACTTGCTATCCTATAGTAGTTTCTTTTGCAAAAAAAAAAAAAAAAAAAAAAAAAAAATCTGCTGAGCTGTCTTTCCAGGGTCTCCAATAAAACTGGATAAAAGCAGCTACAGTCAACCTTGAGACTGGAGCCAGGGCAGATCAACTTAGAGTACCAGAGTTATGTTATCATTCATTACGATGTTAACTGACACACCTCCAACGATGCTTCAGTAGTCATCAACCTCAAAGAACTTTCTCCACTCCTTTCCCTGCACCTATCATGTTCTGTCACTTTGTTTTATCCAGGTCTGCCCCAACTGTCCTATTCCATAAATTCCCAAACCTCTCTCTGTATGAGGGATTGATTTGGGCCTTGATATGACTTGCCCATCTCTCCCACAGGCCTGTAGTAATAGTAACTGTCCTCTTTCTCAGAAGGTGAATCCAGTGGTGGTTGTTTTTTTTCTATTTTGTATGCTTGACAGGCAGAGTGGACAGTGAGAGAGAGAGAGAGAAAGGCAGTATTTTTCTAACAGTAAGCAGGGAACCTGTCGGGTAACAAAAGGGAAGCTGAAGAAGACTCCCTCTTTCTAATGGCATTCATTCCCTCCCTCCTTTGCCAGAACCTCTTTAACTTCTTATCTACCTCTTAAGAATCTGAAAAGGCTGCCCAAGCACAGAATATCCAGGATGGTTGAATAGTCCACGTGACAACTATTCTTTCCAGAGAACAGCAATTTGAGCTATCTAGAAGGCCCACTAGGCATTTACTGAGGCCCGGAGGCTCTTTGTAATTGGCTATGCAAACAGATGAAAGCCCTGTAACTAAAGAGGCCATGGAGGAATGCCCAACCTGTTGCATAAATAACCCTAATGCTCATCCCAGGACAAAGGTACCCTGGTTAGTTCAAGGTAGGGGAAGGAAGCCTGGAGAAAGACTGGCAATGGACTTTTCCTTCATGCCCAGAGCAGCAGAAAACGTTAGATACCTGTTGGTTCTCAACGGCACATTTTCAGAATGGGTAGAAGCCCATTTTTTTTTTTTAAGATTTATTTTATTTATTTGAAAGAGTTACAGAGAGAGGTAGAGACAGAGAGAGAGGGGTCTTCCACCCACTGGTTCATTCCCCAGATGGTTGCAATGGCCGAAGCTGAGCTGATCTAGACAGGAGCTTCCTCTTGGTCTCTCACCTGGGTGCAGGGGTCCAAGGACCTGGGCCATCCTCTGCTGCTTTCCCAGGTGCATTAGCAGAGAGCTAGACCAGAGGAGGAGCAGCCTGGACAGGGATCAGCACCCATATGCAGGTCAGGGCTTTAACCCACTGCACCACAGTATCAGCCCCAATTGCCACCCGTTCTGAAACAGCTCCCAAGGTCTCTAAGCTATTTCTGAAGGAGATCATCCCCAGATATGGACTACCTAAGTCCATATGGAGGGACAAAGGCCTAGTTTTCAGATTGTCAATACCAAACATACTTATAAGGAGTTGGGGATCAGGCATCTCCACTCAGCCTGGAGACCAATAATCATCTTGACAGGTAGAGAGAACAAATAAGACCCTAAAGAAAACTCTGGCCAAATTATGCAAGGAACTTTGACTCCCTGGAAGACTTGTTCCAAGGAGGCCAGAAAACAGATTCCAAAGAAGCAGAACTATATCTATATGATACTCAAGTAGGTAAAATTATAAAGGCCCTTATTGGCCTATGGAAACCACGAGCCACCCTCCCCTTCAGACTTAACTACATCCACTCCATCTGGGAGACTGCTTCTATTTAAAGGCACGGAGGGGAGATATCCCCCAGATCAGTTACTGCCTAAATAGGAAGGTCCATTTTTGGTAATACATACAACTAACTCTGCCTTAAAGTTACAGGGAGTAACACTTTGGGATCCACCACTCCCAGGTAAAGGCAGCCACAGGATCTAAAGAAACGAACTCCACCTCATCAAGCGAACTACTGCCTGATCTAAAGCTCCTATTCGAGAGAGAGAAAGACAAGTAACCGGAAACTCATCCGTATTTCCTGCCAGGAATCAGTCCTCTTGCCCTACTCAAAGGTATTCTCCTGTTCACCCTAGGAATTACTTTACTCAATCTGGAATCTATCCCTTGAGAATTTGTCTCCTCTACCATAGTTGCTGTAACCCTCATCTGGTACCCTCAGTAACCACAGAAGAGAAGAAAAGTGCATGAACAGACACTGAACTTCCTTTTCCTAATCCTATTGATCCTATTTCCCATGGTACATCAAGGAATTCCCTTCTATGGTCCAAAAACACACTATTCAGACTCTCTTGAGATGAAACTCAGGAAGGAGACTTTTGGATTGTTGGATATTTGCATACATGGTCAAATTCCTTATGACAAGGATGCCAAAATCAATGTGGAAAGGACAGTCATTTGAAAAAAAAAAAAAGGACTGAGAAAAACTGAGTATGCATGCAAAAGAACAAACTTGAAATTTGACTTATACCATACTTAAAACAGATCAAAGACCTATATGGTGACATAACCAACAATCCAAAAACTTCAGCCTGCTATGTGGCAATGTAAGAGAGTGTTCCATCAGCACACTTACTCAGGTATGGCAGGCAATGAATGGGGTCCATGTGAGGTTTCTCTCAGGGGATCATGACAATCTGAAAATGTTTTTGTGGACAAGGACAAAAGAAAAAAATGTTACAAGCCAATATCCTTGTAAATATAGGTGTGAAAATCTTCAATAAAATACTAGCAAATGGTATCCAACAGCATATTAAAAGCATTTTTAAAAAACTGATAAAGATCTATACTTAGAGAAATATTAATCATTATTTACTTTGGCAAGATAAAAGCAGGTTATAGTAAAGAATGTATATTATAATTACTATTTAAAATAAAATGCAATGTTTTTTGTGTTTTTAAAGATTTATTTATTTATTTGAAAGGATTACACAGAGAGAGGAGAGGGGGGGAGAGAGAGAGAGAGAGAGAGAGGTCTTCCATCCAATGGTTCACTTCCGAATTGGCCACAGCTGCCAGAGCTGTGCCGATCTGAAGCCTGGGCCAGGAGCTTCTTCCAGGTCTCCCATGCGGGTGCAGGGGCCCAAGGACTTGGGCCATCTTCTCCTGCTTTCCCAGGCCATAGCAGAGAGCTGGACTGGAAGTGGAGCAGTTAGGTCTCGAACCGGCGCCCATGTGGGATACCAGCACTGCAGGCCAGGGTGTTAACCCACTGTGCCACAGTGCTGGTCTCTGGAATGATTTCTTTTCTTTCTTTTTTTTCCCTCTCTTTATTTTTATTTATTTATTTATTTTTTTGACAGGCAGAGTTAGACAGTGAGAGAGAGACAGAGAGAGAGAAAGGTCTTCCTTCTGTTGGTTCACTCCCCAAATGGCTGCTTTGGCTGGCATGCTGCGCCGACCCGAAACCAGGAGCCAGGTGCTTCCTCCTGGTGTCCCATGTGGGTGCAGGGCCCAAACACTTGGGCCATCTTCCACTGCCTTCCCAGGCCACAGCAGAGAGCTGGACTGGAAGAGGAGCAACCGGGACAGAACCAGCACCCCGGCTGGGACTAGAACCCAGGGTACCAGCGCTGCAGGCAGAGGCGCTGTGGCGCCAGCCTGGAATGATTTCTTTTATCACTTGAAAGTAGTCATATTCAGTAAGGAGAATTACAAATAATCTTTGTTTCTTCTTTATGTTCCCTGGTATTTTTTGTTTTTCTTTTCTTCCCCCGCCCCCACAGTAAGAAAACATAATTGTACAAAAGGAACAAAACAGTGGCTTCAAAAACAAAGTTACAATTCTGCCAGGAGTTATGAGTCAATGTAACACTCATATATTACAGTGTAACACAATTTACTGTATAGTACTGGTAGAAGCTGAGATCTGTAGTTCATATAAATGGAACAGATGGCCCTAAAACATAGGCTGTGGCTGGCACTGTGGTGTAGCAGGTAAAGCTGCCACCTGCAGTGCCGGCATCTCATATGGACGCTGGTTTGAGTCCCGGCTGCTCCACTTCTGATTCAGCTCTCTACTATGGCCTGGGAAAGCAGTAGAAGATGGTCCAACTGCTTGGGCCCCTATACCCACACAGGAGACAGGGAATCTGCTCCCGGCTCCTGGCTTCGGATCAGCGCAGTCCTGGCTGTTGTGGCCATCTGGAGAGTGAACCAGTGGATGAAAGACCTCTGTCTCTCTCTCTCTCTGCTTCTGCCTCTCTGTTACTCTGCCTTTCAAATAAATAAATCTTAAAAAAAAAGGTTAATATAAACATAAATGTATCAAGAGGGGAGGGGAACAAGCCATGAGGAAAGAATTATTGAATAAGTAGTTTGGGGATGGAATCTTTCCTTTTCAGGGTTTAATTCCAACCTTAAATTCACATTTTAAAACATATTTGATTGATATGTTGAACAAAATAGTGTAAATAGGGTGTTAAGTGTTGAGCTGTGTCCCTCCTCACCTCCAAGATATGTTGAAGCCCTAATTCCTGGTAACTTTGAATGTGATCCTATATGGAAACAGGATCTTTCCAAATATAATGAAGTCAAGATGAGGTCATCAATGTCCACGCCCGCCGGCAGCGGCTGAGAGGCTGAAACCAGAGTGGACCGCTCTTGTTAAGCGGCTGTTGCCCTCACTTCTCAGGAATCGGCGAGAGCTTGGCCCAAGGCTGAACTGTGCCATTTGGAAGACTGGAAGCAGACGCATCTGTCGACATGTTTTCCAAAGTCCTGGAGAACCAGTTGCTTCAGACTACCAAGCTGGTGGAAGAACATTTGGATTCTGAAATTCAGAAACTGGATCAGATGGACGAGGATGAATTGGAACGCCTCAAAGGAAAGAGACTTGAGGCACTAAGGAAAGCTCAACAGCAGAAACAAGAATGGCTTTCTAAAGGACATGGGGAATATAGAGAAACTCCTAGTTGTCGCTCCCCGTCTTCGTGGGGGAACGACACAGGACCCTGCGCTGTTCTTTCTGTCTGCTCGGCCCTCCCCGGGTTTGCTGCTGGTTCTTCCCGGGTTGGCTACTATCCCTTCCACCTCCGTGGAAGGGCAGTTCCCCCTGGCCACATTCCCCACTTCCGCAGGGGAGCGGCACACCGCCGGCCGGCTCTTCTCGGGGGCTGCACAAGTTCCCTTAGATGTTCCCCATAGATGTTCCTGGTGCATGCCGTCTCTCTCTTCCTTTATAGTCCTCCTCCGCCAATCCCAACTCGGCTGCCCACACGCCGAGTACGCTGCTCTCCTCCAATCAGGAGCAAGTCCTACAGTTTATTAGTTGAACTGGAGGCAGCTGTGCGGAAGCTGTTTACTTCTCTCCCAGCGCCATATTGTGGGAGAGCAGATGCATAGAATAAGTCCTAATTCGAGTAACTTAGTCTAGTCCGGATTGCTCCCCACAGATCCCCCTTTCTTTTTATTTTTTAGTGTTGATACGCGCCTGTCTTCGGTGTCCCGCGGCACACACTCTGCTCTACTTGCTAGAGTTGCCACAGGCTCTTACAAGTCCTATCAATCAGGAAAACCGAATCCGGGTCCTCTCTTCGCCATGTTGTGAGGAGGTTTTTAGGCGCTGATGCGTGCCTGTGTTCGGTGCCCTGCAGCGCATGCTCTGCTCTGCCTGCAGGGGACTTACAAGACCTATCAGGCAAACCGAATCCAAGCCTTCTCATTGCCTTATTGTGGGGGAGACTTATTAGTGTTGGTTCGTGCCTATCTTCGGTGACCTGCAGCTCATACTCTGGTCGAGCTGCTTGCTGGCGCTTACCGCCTTAAATCAGGCAGACCGAATCCAAGCTTAATATTGTTGTATTGTGGGGAAGCCTTACTGATGTTAATTCGTGCCTGTCTTCGGTGACCTGCGGTGCATAAGCTGCTAGCTGCCCGCAGGTGCTCATCGCCTCACTTGATTAGGCAGACCGAATCCAAGCTCTCACATTGCAGTGTTGTAGGGAGGCCTTTTTATTTCTCTATTTCTCTATCTCCGGGCATTCCTATTTCTCCCATTTTACTTCTATCTTCCAGCATTCCTATTTTTCTCACTTTACTTCTAAACTTCTGTTTCTCTTATCCCTGCGGCTTCCCGCTCTCATTCTTATCCCCGCGGCTTCCCGGCTGCGCCCGCCCCGAGGCTGCTTCTCGGCGGCTTCCCGGCTGAGCCGCTTCAGCCCGCGCCTCTCTCATCTGCGCAGCTTCCCGGCTTTGCGCGGCTTCCCGGCGCCTCGCCCCGCCGGCGGGTTCCCGGCTCTGCGCGCACGCTCCGCGGTCTCCACGCACTTCGCGCCCGCACCACGGCCTCGCGCCAACGCCCCGTGCTCTCTCTGCACGCGGCGGCTTCCGCGAATGTTTCCGCCACCACCGGCATTCAGTCCAAGTTCCCCGGACTAACCTGGCGAATTCTGGCGGCCCACGTCTCTGCCTCTGGTTCCAGATCTTCGCCTCTTGCTCCCCAGGGTGACTTGAAGAATTCCAAGATGGCTTGGCCTGCACTCGCGGCTTCATCCTCCCTAACATTTTTCTCTACCCGGTGTGTTTCCCTAAGTTTTCTTCCAACAATATTCCTCCCTCATTTCTCCTGGCCTCTCCCCACAGTCCGTATCCAAGTCTAAGTTTCTTATAGGTTTCACTTTCACTTTCAACCTGCAGTCCGTATCTGAGTCTAAGTTTCTTCTTGCTTTCACTTTAAATCCTAACTTCTTTCCCACAGTCCGTATCCGAGTCCAAGCCTCCTCTAGGTTTCACTTTCGCTTTCAGTCTCCTAGCTTCCCCGCCATAGTCCGCATCCGAGTCTACGAAAGCTTTCACTTTCGCTGTCAATCCTAACTTCTTTCCCACAGTCCATATCCGAGTCTATGCCTAGGCTTTCAATAGCTTCTTCCGGCACCTTTTCCGTCCGGCTTTTCCCTAGGCTCTTTGCTAGTCTCTCTCTCCGGTATTTTCCCACTTCTTCCCGGTCTTTCCCTCCTAGGTTTCCTATCCGAGTCACGGCACCATTATGTCGCTCCCCGTCTTCGTGGGGGAACGACACAGGACCCTGCGCTGTTCTTTCGTCTGCTCGGCCCTCCCCGGGTTTGCTGCTGGTTCTTCCCGGGTTGGCTACTATCCCTTCCACCTCCGTGGAAGGGCAGTTCCCCCTGGCCACATTCCCCACTTCCGCAGGGGAGCGGCACACCGCCGGCCGGCTTTCTCGGGGGCTGCACGGGTGTTCCTTCAGCTAGATGTTCCCCATAGATGTTCCTGGTGCATGCCGTCTCTCTCCTCCTTTATAGTCCTTCTCTGCCAATCCCAACTCGGCTGCCCACACGCCGAGTACGCTGCTCTCCTCCAATCAGGAGCAAGTCCTACAGTTTATTAGTTGAACTGGAGGCAGCTGTGCGGAAGCTGTTTACTTCTCTCCCAGCGCCATATTGTGGGAGAGCAGATGCATAGAATAAGTCCTAATTCGAGTAACTTAGTCTAGTCCGGATTGCTCCCCACACCTAGTGAGAGAGACCTTTTTCAAGAAGTCAAGGAGAGCAAAAAAGTGGTTTGCCGTTTCTACAGAGATTCTACATTCAGGTGTAAAATACTAGACAGACATTTGGTGATATTGTCCAAGAAACATCTTGAGACAAAATTTTTGAAGCTGAACGTGGAAAAAGCACCTTTCCTTTGTGAGAGACTGCGTATCAAAGTCATTCCCACACTGGCACTGGTAAAAGACGGGAAAACACAAGATTATGTTGTTGGATTTACCGACCTAGGAAATTCAGATGATTTCACTACGGAAACTCTGGAATGGAGGCTCGGTTGCTCTGATATTCTTAACTACAGTGGAAATTTAATGGAGCCACCATTTCAGAACCAAAAGAAATTTGGAACAAACTTCACAAAGCTGGAGAAGAAAACTATCCGAGGAGGAAAGAAATACGATTCAGACTCTGATGATGATTAGAGCTCAATAATTCTTTGTAAATCATCTTATTTCTACAATTACTTCAGGTTTAAATGTGTTTTCTAAATTCTGTTGCTTTTGATCCATTGATCATCAGTACTCATATTCTGGAGATTTATATACTCCAACCATTGAAAGGCATCTTTACCATATTCTCTGTGGCCATCATGTTTCAGGTGAGGAAAATGTCTGAGTTCCTAAATTATCTGGGAAGAGTGTGGATTCTCTATTTTTGAGGTTGATTTTATCACGTATGTTTCTTACATCTTTATACCATTCACAATTGTGTTTTTAATCTATTTATTAGAATTAGAAATTCAGCAGACTATTTCAGGACTGATTCTTAATCAGCGTTATTTACTTTCTACAGCAGGTCATGTAACATTTACTGGTGTAACATTGCACTTGTAAATGAACTATGAACACGCTTCACTTTGGGAATATATTTAAGTAACTATTAAAAAAACTGCTTATTTATTCTGGAAAAAAAAAAGAGATGAGGTCATCAGATGACCCTAATCCAATAAGAATGGTGTCCACCTAATGAAAAGGATGCAAAGACAGAGGTGCACAAGGAGAATATAATGCAAAGATGGGGCAGAGATTGGAATGATCCATCTATAAGCCAAGGAATGCCTAGGATTGCTAGGAGAAATTCATAGAATACATTATCCTTAGAAGGAACCAACAACCTTGGTTTTAGATTTCCAGAATCAAAAACTGTGAGATAATAAATTTTTTAAGACCCCAAGTTTTTGGTATTTGGTACTTTGTTGTGGTAGACCTAGAAAACTAATACATGAGAGGGCCAGTGCCATGGCTCAATAGGCTAATCCTCTGCCTTGTGGTGCCGGCACACTGGGTTCTAGTCCCAGTTGGGGCACCAGATTCTGTCCCGGTTGCCCCTCTTCCAGGCCAGCTCTCTGCTGTGGCCAGGGAGTGCAGTGGAGGATGGCCCAGGTGCTTGGGCCCTGCACCCCATGGGAGACCAGGAGGAAGGCTCCTGCCTTTGGATCAGTGCGGTGCACCAGCCGCGGTGAACCTTTCTCCCTCTCTCTCTCTCTCTCTCTCTCACTGTCCACTCTGCCTGTCAAAACAACAACAACAACAAAAAAACACACTAATACATGAGAGAACTTTTGATCATGCATTTCCTGGTTTGTATTCATTACTGTTTAAAAAAATCATTATAAAGGTGAAACCTTTACGTCCCTTCTTTCATTCACCCAGTATGAATTCCCTCAAGGAGGACGAGGCCTGAATGGCTGCCAAAGGCCTTTCCACATGCCTTACCGTCATAGGGTTTTTGGCCAGTGTGAACTCTCTGGTGTCTAGTCAGATTTGAGCCTCTGTTAAAGGCCTTCCCACATTCATTGCATTCGTAGGGTTTTTCATCTGTATGGATTCTCTGATGTTGGAGAAGTTCTGAGCTCTGACTAAAGGCCTTGCCACACTCTTTACACTCAGAGTTTTTCACCAGCGTGAATTCTGTGGTGGTTAGTAAGTGTTGAGGCACTACTGAAGGCCTTCCCACATTCTTGACATTCGTAAGGTTTCTCACCAGTGTGCATTCTCCGTCGCTGAATAAGCCTGGAGTGTTGAGTGAAGGCTTTCCCACACTCCTTACATTCAGAAGGTTTCTCACCTGTATGAATTCTCAGATGGGGAAACAGTTGAGAACTTTTAGTAAAGGCTTTTCCACATACTTTACATTCATAGGGTTTCTCACCAGTGTGAATTCTCAGATGATCATTACGATTTGAGCAATAATTAAAGGCCTTTCCACATTCCTTATGCTCATAAGGTTTTTCACCAGTGTGAATCCTCTGATGTTGAGAAAAATATGAACTACAACTGAAAGCTTTGCCGCATTCTTTACATTCATATGGTTTTTCACCAGTGTGGACCCTCTGATGTCGAGTAACCAGTGAGCCATGACTAAAAGATTTCCCACACTCCTTACACTCATAGGGTTTTTCAGCAGAATGAATTCTCCGATATTGAATAAGCTTTGAGTCCTGATTAAAGGTCCTACTGCATGTCTTACATTCACAGGGTTTCTGTTCACAAACAGTTTTTTGATGTGGAGTAAGAAATGTGGGCTGAATGAAAGTTGGCATGTCTCCATGGGTAAGTATGACTTGACTGAAATGCCTTTTTTTAGAGATAATACCTTGGTTTCACACAATGATTCCAGATCTGAAAGAAAATGAAGAGGCAAATATTCGTTCTTTCCTATTCTGCGGAAGTTAAGCTTCAAAAAAAGAAATGGGAGGACTAAGCTGAAAATACTATTTGGGAAAGTACAAGCTTAGATATTTCTCAAATACAGCTAAGCAAATATTGACAAGAAAAGCACAGCTGTTAAGGCAAGGTAATGAAATAAGCTGGGAAGGTGATTAGGGAAGTCGACAGTGTTCTGGCGTGGATCAGAATCACCTTAAACCTCTGAATACACAGTATCCAGTGTCATCCTCCATATTCCACAGCAATTCTAATGACTTATACACACATCTAAACATACATACTCATGCACAGAACATCAGATTGTCTGTTTTCACAATCTATAGGTAATTATCAGACCTACATCAAAAGACTATTGTGTACAGCCCCTATACAGTGCCTTGAAGGCAGATACCAGATATCATCAGGATCGAGTGTCCCAGCCTCCCTCCCTTAGCTTAAAATTTCCTTTCCCTGCTTTTATGATTGTCAATCAACTTCTTACTAAAATCAGTTTGCTGAGGCAGGCACTGTGTAGTATGTTAAGTCTCCACCTGTGACACTGGCATCCCACACGGGCGCTGGTTCATGTTCTGGATGCTCCTCTTCTGGTCCAGCTCTCTGCTGGTGGCCTAGGAAGGCAGGGGAGGATGGTCTGGGGTGCTTGGGCCCCTGCACCCATGTGGGAGACCCAGATGAGGCTCCTGGCTTTGGATCAGCCCAGCTCCAGCCGTTGTGGCCATTTGAGTAGTGGACCAGTGGTTGGAGGACCTCTCACTGTGCCTCTCAATAAATAAACAGATCTTTTTAAAAATTTAATTTGCTGGCCGGCGCCGCGGCTCACTAGGCTAATCCTCCGCCTAGCGGCGCCGGCACACTGGGTTCTAGTCCCGGTCGGGGCGCCGGATTCTGTCCCGGTTGCCCCTCTTCCAGGCCAGCCCTCTGCTGTGGCCAGGGAGTGCAGTGGAGGATGGCCCAGGTGCTTGGGCCCTGCACCCCATGGGAGACCAGGAGAAGCACCTGGCTCCTGGCTCCTGCCATCGGATCAGCGCGGTGTGCCGGCCGCAGCGCGCCGGCCGCGGCGGCCATTGGAGGGTGAACCAACGGCAAAGGAAGACCTTTCTCTCTGTCTCTCTCTCTCACTGTCCACTCTGCCTGTCAAAAAAAAAAAAATTTAATTTGCTGAATTGAGGAAGTGGTGCGACCAGCCCTAGTCTTTGGATTCATGAGTTCGTTTATTTTGCCCATAGATAGCACGCTGATGTTCAACTTTGTACTGAAAGATTTCCTTTCCAGGAACCTCAATCTCCAAGCAAAAAGTTTTCAGAAATTTCTTGGGATCACAGAACGAATGAGTGACTATGTCAGTTTCTTGAGGCAACTATAATGAAAGGCCACATATTCAGAGGCTTCTAACAACAGAAGCTTATCTTCTCATAGTTCTAAAAAGCTTGAAAGTTCAAAATCTGGCATGGCTGTTGAACTCCCTCCAAGGGCCCTGGAGGGAAAGACAAGCCCTTGCCTCTTACTTCTGCCAGCTCCTTGACTACCACCTGTACACGGTTCCCAGACTGAAGCCCACTCGCCATCATCAAAATTCCCCACAGAACACAGTACCACCCACCAAGTAAAGAGGACCATAAACACTGCAGATGAACCAGGGACCTGGACATGAACTGAACACACATCTCTATAAGAAACTTTACCACTAACTTCTTGGGGAGCCTGGGAATTAAGTGATAGCTGACTGGCTCCTTGCCGTGTGCTTTGGAATAAATATCTACTTTTACCACCCCAGTGTCAGTAATTGGTTTGCTGGGTATGAGATGAACACATCTAGTTTTGAGGGATTCTACAGTAATTTCCCCAACCAGTTCTGGGGATGTTGTACAAGAAGAATAAACATGTTGAAATGTATACATGCAAGAAGGACCAGTGACTCTGCAAAGATATATTGTTGGCGAATTCACATGATGGGTGGCACAGCCAGTAGCAAGTCTAAAATGCTGAACAAAATTGGTGGGCATGGAAGGTGAATAAACATCTTCTGTGGATACAGCGTGATATAGGGTGAGGAGTCACTGAAAATAGTTTGCTTTGGAATTAATTCTGCAATGTTGACCTTGGGAGAAAACATTATGGAAGTGACTAAGAAGGTAGGCAGCTCAAGTTTGAGAAAAGAGTAAGACAGGATGAAATTTGCCCTGTGAGAAGAGAGGAACGCTATGTCAACATAGGAAAGGTGAGCTCCAGTTTTATATTCCAAGGCAAATACTTAATCTGAATCTTTTCCTCATGAGTTAAAATGGGTAGAATACTCAACTCATGACTGATATAAAGATGAGGACTGTAACACAGGAAAATGATCTAATATTAAGTGCTCAGTGCTAACAACTATTATTATGGAAAATGTCAGTGAAAATAGTGATACCAGGCAGCTGAAATTATTTCCAGACATCAAAATAAAGCCAGTTATGCTCTCAAATGCCAAATATGTTATCTTTTTCCCTCTACCCCCATACAATCATTGGCCGAATCTAGTCTAGGTAAATTGGCAGAAACGTCTTAAAACTGCCCTCATCTAATTATTATACTCTTAGCCCAGCATCATGTCTTTCCTAGACAACCATAACAATCTTGTAAGTCTTTCTATTATGCTCCAGCTACTTCTAAGTTATTCAGCAACTGGAGAGATAGCTGGTCTAGCCTTCTACTACTGAAAATCTAAACTCTCTGGCAATTACCAATATGACCAACAGGAGGGCTTCCGCACACCTCTGCAACCTGGTCTCATCCTATTTCCACCTGCTCAGAAAGCCCTAGTCCTTCAAGCATACCAAGTTCTCGTCCTTTTTTTTTTTTTTTTTTTTTGACAGGCAGAGTGGACAGTGAGAGAGAGAGACAGAGAGAAAGGTCTTCCTTTTTGCCGTTGGTTCACCCTCCAATGGCCGCCGCGGCCGGCGTGCTGCGGCCAGCGCACCGCGCTGATCCGATGGCAGGAGCCAGGAGCCAGGTGCTTTTCCTGGTCTCCCATGGGGTGCAGGGCCCAAGCACCTGGGCCGTCCTCCACTGCACTCCCTGGCCACAGCAGAGGGCTGGCCTGGAAGAGGGGCAACCGGGACAGAATCCGGCGCCCCGACCGGGACTAGAACCCGGTGTGCCGGCGCCGCTAGGCGGAGGATTAGCCTAGTGAGCCGCGGCGCCGGCCAACCAAGTTCTCTTCACCCTTCAAAATCTTTCTAGAGGGGATCTCCCTTTGGCTGGTATATGCCACTCCCCAACAACATCACTGGCCCTGCTAATTTCTGCTCATCATTTAGGCCTCTCCTCAAATACCACATCTCTAGGAAAACTATACTTGATCTTCAATCTAAATCATAGTCTTCCTGTTATTAGGCCTCTGATGACTTTGCTTTTTAGGAGAATTTTTATTTGTAATGCTATACACATATGCATAGATCCAGCAACAACAGGAATGTTTGATAATTTTACAATGTGTACTCAGCTCTTGACAAAATACATACCTGACACACACCAGAAGCTCGATATATAATTTGAGGAATTACTTAAGCAATAACTGACTTTTTAGATGAACTGTTTTCTTAAAAGTAAAAAATTTTTTAAAAGCATGTAAGGTTGATCATTATTTATAGTGCTTATGACCTAGAAATTCACCATGAATATGGAATTTGTGAATATATATTGCTTTCATCAATTGATCAATACATAACCCAGGTGCATTAGTAGAGAGCTGGAATGGAAGTAGAGCAGTTGGGACTGGAACTGGTGCTCATAAGGGTTTAGACACTGCCAGTATGAGAGACACAGAAAGACATGGTCCTGGGGCTGGAGCACAGCTGGGAGCAAGAGCCCAGGCCAGTCAGTGGGTTAAAGTCAGGATAAAGAGAAAGTCTTGCTGCACAGAGGACTATGGTTGACCAGGTGCCCTCAGGTGCTGGTCCTCCACCTCCTGAACTATTAGACTCCCCCAGAGCTGGCAGATTACAACAAAAGCGAGAGAGACTCATTCCGTGTATACTGTTGCTTTATAAATGTTGAAAGATGAAATCCTGATGACAAGAGTTGCCTGGGTAGCAATTACAAACAACAGCTGTCAGCAGTGAATCTGTAGGTCGTGGGGCTCATCTCTCTCCCATTTCTTAATCCATCATGAGAGGCACAGACTAGTATCTGGCTCATAGCCCTTTCCCAGGCACGTTGCCAAAGTGGTTGATAAGCTAATAGGAACATGAGCTCACAGGCCAAAATAGCCATATACCACAGTGCAGCCACTATGAAATAAGACCACACTCTACAATGATCATCGTGACAGAAAGACCACATGATGTGGTCAATACCTATTTATAACTCTTAGAAAATTAGCACTTCAAAGTAGCACATGTAAAACATTACCAGGAATAAGAATAAGCATTACATTAAATAAAAATATTTTAGATATGCCCCTTGTAAGATAGAAAAAAGAAATGGATATCTGTTATCACTGTTACCAATTAAAAGAGTTATGGAGGTCTTGGTTATAATTAAAAGCAAAGAAATAACAAGTAGGAGAAATAGAAGGAATAAGTCTAATGATATGCAGATAATAGATGATCTTACTAGAAATACCAAGAAAAATTTAAAAAACTAAGTTCATTAAAGTCGTTAAAGATCAATTTACAAGTCAACAACAGGAGTCACTGTGCACTTACTCCTCATGTAGGATCTCTGTCCTTAATGTGCTGTACACTGAGGCTTAATGCTATAACGAGTACTCAAACAGTATATTTCACTTTGTGTTTCTATGGGGGTGCAAACGATTGAAATCTTTACTTAATGTACACTAAACTGATCTTCTGTAAAAAAAAAAAAAAAGAAAAGAAATTATCAATTCCCAACTTGACTCTCACTGGGATTAAACATGACAATAGGTCTGATCTGATTTC